ACAAGAAACAGTATAAGAAATTTAGAGTTGCCCAGAATTAAACAGTCTAACGCATTTATGTTCAGTGCTGCAAGCTTGTGGAACAGACTTCCTGAGGAGTTGCTTTACCTTGATGTCTTCCGAAAACAAACTTAAGGGAATTGAAATTTGTAAATTGTAATGGACAGTCTTTAGCAATTCCTTAGTTAGTTTATCTTCAAATTCTTGCCGATGAATTATAGTTTTTTGACTGATTTTTTTGTTCTTTATTAATTTTTTGTGAGGGCCAAGTGTAGATTATCGAGAGATATTGAGTGCTACCCTCAATAAAAAAAAGGTTTATTATTATTATTATTATTATTATTATTATTATTATTATTATCATTATTAAAGACAGAATAAAAATGGAAACAAACAAGTAATCGATCCCCCATTCCCTCCTCCCTTTCTTCAACCCCCCCCCCCTCTCCCCCACCTCGCCTTTCTCTCTCTCAAAAATCACTACTGACCTCGCATTTCCTTTTAAGGCTGCATGATGAAGGCAGTTGAATCCTCGCTTATTTTTAATGGACAGATCTACGCCGCGGAAGTTCACGAGAACTTCAACAATCTCAATGAAGTCTTTAGCTATGGCATCGTGAAGGACAGTGTCCCCGTATGAATCCTGCAAAGCAAAAAAACGTCACCATCAATTTTCCTCCTTTGACTCTCTCTTCTTCCAGTTCTATCTCGGTCCTGGAAGAAGAGAGGTCCTAAGTACGAAGATGTGTCGAATTACCACAAACCTGTGCGTTGACATCACAGGAGAAGTTTAGTAACGTTTTTACGACATCCGTATATCCCTTATTGACTGCCACGTGAAGCGGAGAGCATTTGTTCTTGTTAAGCTTGTTGCCATCCGCGCCTCCCTTCAGTAGAGCAACAGCTGCTGCGGACTGATTTCTGAGGAATAACAAAATATTCTTATAAGACACCAGAGATAACGAAACATATACAACAAGAGCAGTTTGTGTGTATTTCTTATATTGATCATAAAGCTTCGATCATTCTTTGGCGAAATGTTAAAAGCTTAAAAAAAATCTTCAAAGAATCTGCAAAAAATCTTCAAAGAATGCTGTCCGACATCAGCCAACTTTCCTTGAAAAAAGAAAGATTAAACAGAACGGCCTTAAGTCTAGACTCACCCGAATGCAGCATAATGTAGAGCTGTATCTCCTTCAGCGTCCTGAAAAAAAAAAGGGAACCCCGATCAGCGAAAGTTACTCGATTTTATAACATTATAATATTACATTAAATCCGATTTTTTTGCTTAGAATGTGGCTAGAGATTGATCTTGAACAAAGAAGAAAATTGGATCTGATCGAGGCCCGAAATCCAGAATAACTCTCCTTAAAATTTCTGCGAAATTTTGTGGTTTCGAAAACAGACCCATTTTGGTAAAAAAAAATGATCAATTGTTTTAAAAAAACTTGGCTTTAGACCTACTGGCTTGAAAACTTTGAGTTGAAATGGACCCCAACATAAAAGCTCCTGGTTCAAACGATGAAAAGCGCATTTACTCCTCCGTTGAAAGAACCGCAGAAATTAAGCCTAGCAGTACATCACAACTGGATTAACTAAATCGCTGCTTTGATAAAACTTTTTAGCTACTTCAAGACCTTATAATACTAACTTGAAGATTAACGTTAGCACCGAGATTAAGTAGAAGCTCCACAATTTGGGTGAGCCCTTGGTGACTGGCAATCTGCAAAGCAGTCTTATCAGATCGTACAATGTCCACCTAAAAAAAAATAACCGAAGAATAATCAATGGACAGCGTCTTGGCAAGATTTTAAGTAGTATTACGTTTTCCTCCATATCATAGGACTCGCGCGATAACTGACCTTTTCACCCCTAATAGAGGGGAGAAGTCGTTACGTCACGTTGCCATGGAAGCAAAATTTTTGGATAATAACAAACCGAAAAAGTCACTTGGAAGTCTATTCACAATATTTCAAACTTCACCGACCTTATTCAGTATCATTTAATTTGACAAATCTTGGCGAAATTTTCTTTGGGACTGTATCTATCGTTACCTAAGGTTAGAAAAAGAAAGCGACAATTTTTGTGTTGTATGTTTGTGTTGTTCCATGTCGTAGTGGTGCAGCGACGGCAAAGAAATGTACAAAATAGCGTGATGCACGTGCAAAGTTGTTGTTTGCTAATATAAACATGTTATTTTTTGCTGTTCTCCTCGCCGTCGCCATCGTTGTTGATTTTGTTGTCATCCAGAAATAGTGCTACCATGGAAACGTGACGTCACACTTCTCCTAAACCAATGTACCCCTGCATAAATCTCCCCAAATTTCACGTCCTACAGTATCAAAAAGTGAATAGTGCTACGGAAAAGCACCGCCGAAAGAGGTTTCATTTCACGTCCAAAAGTTGAATGTTTGTTAAATCTCTTAAATGGAGGGGCTTATATTAACTAGAGGTAATCATTGATTACGGATCCGCGTTCGTCACTCACGGAGAAATTTCGGAAACGAAATCGAGTCGAAAGGAGTCAAGTTTCCTGGACGAGGTGCCCCTGATTAATAGGGGCGGCTAATTTGCAGTCGCCCGTCACAGCTCGAACATTTCTGCCTTAGTGCCACAAGAACACCAGATTAGGATGCGTTCTGACAAACGCGAAAAGCGGCAGTCTACGGTAGTTAAGTTTGGCCTTGTGTAAACAGACAACACGAGGGAGGATACCTGTGGAATAGAGCTGGCTGCACCCACCTTATCTGGATGAGTTTTTAACAGTTCTCTCAGTTTTTCAACGTGTCCTTGTCCTGCCTCACTGACAATCATAGACCCTATATCAGTTGACGCATTGATGCGCAGGTGATCCATGAGTGTTCTCAGAGATTCATCTGAAAACAGAACAACTTACTAGTCATATTGACATTTTAACAATTCCTACTTGCTACATTCCTACTTGAGAAGGAAGCACGGTTTTAACTACTACGCCAGCACAAAAGCAAGCATAAGAGTTCTTATTATATCGTGAAAAAAGGCTTTTGGTGCAAGCATAAGCACTATGATAAGAATTTTTGATGTTCTGGCACATTACTGGTGTCGGCGTCTTGTTGTTGTCGTCGCTGTTGTTGTTGTTTGTTTGTTTTTTCCTCACTAAAAACCCTACCAGAATACCGGCAGTTTATTTCTTAAAGCAAAAGACCCAGTCCCAAAAAATAACACTGGTGCCGCTTTTTATTCAGTTCTCTGCCAAGATAATGCCTGTCGACTCAAAAGTGGGCAAATTTCCCTGGATGGATGGAGTCGTCGTGTCTTCAGGTCTTCCATAAACTGTCGCATGGAAAGTTCGTGCGGTGACGTCAATGAAATTTACCAAACATTGTGCATGGTGCACGTGCAGGGCGGGTGTTGTTTTTGACGTTTTAGTCAACGTCTTTGTTGAGGTTGTTTAAGGCTTTATGTCTATACTATACTGGAGCGCTCTAGCGCCAGCACGAAAACCTTCTCTTATGTAGTTAGGTTTTCTCTTGACACATGAGAACAGTGATTTCGGGGCGCTTTCTGTAACGTAGTGATACCGCGCCGTCTCGATCTTGACAGTGTACCCTCACATATCGGATAAGTTTCTGTGACACCCTTTAGCCCAGTGTAAACAGGTGTCCCTACAATGCAGGATAGCTTTCCATGTCAACATGAAAAACTGTCCCGTATAGCATAGACAAATCCTAAGCTCCCTAATTTCACGACGTATCCACGCCGAAGAAGGCAAAGGAATGTGCTCAAAAACTTGATGCACGTGCAAAGCGTGCAGAGTTGTTGTTTTGCTGATTGAGGCTAAAATTCACTTCTGCTGATGTCGCTGTTGCTAAGAATCCGTTTTCACAAGGATGTTCTCCTTGACTTCCTTGTTGCCCGTGTACACCTTGACATTTTTGTTTTCTTCCCACGCAAAATAAAAACTTTTCACATTTCCCATTAACACGACTATTGAAAACTCGCTGACGTAGGTGTACCATATAACTCCATGCATGTAATTATAAGAGTATGTCGCGAGGTAATATTATTGATTTACTAGCTGACAGGCATATATATTTTCTGAACGCTACCGACTGTAAAATTTATATTTTCCTTCTCTAAGTTTTACCTATTTCTCTTTGTGAATTTGGAACATTTCTTCGTTCATCTGCCGATGAACGCCTTTGGTGTTGCCGCTGAGACTTGGAAGACGATGTTGATGAAGGCGATGGTTGTAAGATTCCCTGTAACTCTCCATGCGCTGCAGTGTGTTTGGCCTGGGGCGATGCTAGTGGGCCTGATGGTATTGCTGTAGGTGACTCCTTTACCAGCACCGCCGGGTTAAATGTCCAATGTTGCCCTGCAATAGCTACTCTGATGTCTCCATCAGAATAAATTTTCAAGACTTGCCCAACTTTGCCCAGAGCCTAAGAAGAGAGAGATGAAAATTCTTGTCATGAATTAATAGGGCGGGAAAAAAACTTATATTCCAGCTGGTCCTTTCGGCAAGCAGCTCTCATAGTTTGCTTTTCCGAGGCTACCTCTTGCTTAGCCTTAGTAGACAGTTAATGATTTGGTTTGAAGATGACTACCTTGGGCCCTAATGGGCAAGTCAGCATTAACAGTTACTCGCCCAACTATCGGACGGGACTTTTTACGAGCCCTGATAAATTTTTACAAAATGTTTATTCGCCTACACTGCATTCTCGAAGCGTTGTTGCGTTTAATAAAATGGTAGTCAAAGTGATAAGCGTGCAAAACAACTACAATAATTAGTCACTCTATGTTGATGTGTTGTTCAATTACAAGGTAAAACTTCGACCACATGTGAAATACGTTTACATACCAAAACCATATCCTCAGTCCACTCTCCATGCCCAAACTGAAGTTTCTTTACCAATTCGAGATTTTTCATCACCCTTACTTTGTCACTGACGTGTAGCTCGTCAACCTAAGAGAAAATACGAAGCCTTCATCATCTACAGTACCCTGATGAAGCAACGAGAGACTGCAAGCAAGTTCTCATTCTAGAGATTGCAAGAGTAGAAGGTCACGGACGAGCGAGCGGAGAAGGATTGGGGCGGAGGAAGCGCACGCTCGCTTCACGTGACTTACGAATGACAGGGAAACGCCAAATTTGGGGCTCGTCCTCGCTGCAAGAACTGTAACACCCTTGAGTAATGTAAAAAATAGAGCCTTGGAACATAATAATCGATACAATCAATAACAGGTATAATAAAGAAAAATTTCACGGTTCTAACACCAAGGTAAAGGATTGGGGCAGAGGTCTGGCCAAAAATTCCTTAAACCTCCGTTGAACGGATAGAAAGAAATGCCGCTGAAATAAGGGCGATTTTGCGCTTGCTTTCCGCGTTTCCGAGCGGTCATGTGGGTATGTGCCGAGGCATAACTCCATAATTCTCGGTTTCAGCAACATAACTTTCGGGAGACGACTTTTGAATGACCCGTTCTCTGGGTTACTACTTACAAGCATCAACAACCTTAATGGCGCTGTTTGGTGGAGGTTATAGAGACAGTGTTATAGAAATAATTTCGTCCTTACGTCAAAATTCACTCATATATGCTTAAAGTATAGTACTCTCAAGACGGAATCCATCAGGAAATTGAGTAATTTCAATTTTCAGTGGACAAAAACCTTGTACCAGAATAATTAAAACAATATTGCATTCTTTCTTACAGTTTTTAAGGGCTATAGATGTAATTAGTTATCTGTAATAACACTAAAGACTATTTCTCATGGGAGCCCGAGAAAATAAAATAAAATTTCAAATTTCACTTTTAAGAATTATGAAAATGCAGGTATTCTGAAAATTTGATATGCAAGGTCTCATTTTGTGAAATTTGACATTCATTTCCTCGGACTCTCATGAGAAATAGTCTTTGATGTTATTACAGGTAACTAATTACATCTATACCCCTTGAAAGATGTAAAAAAGAAAGCGATATCGTTTAAATTATTCTGGTAAAAGGTTTTATCCACTAAAAATTAAAATTACTCAATTTCCTAATGGATTCCATCTTAATACTTTTACCTTTGTAAGGGCTGCAGGGTGAAAAGTCCATCTATTAGCAAACCCAGGGTACTGTACTCTCACATCACCACGTTCAGTTATTCTATGTACTGTTCCTGTCAGGCCAATCACCTGAAAAATATTAAGCTTCTAATAAAATCCACTTCCCGCACACTGACTGCCATTTGTCCGCCACATGACAATGCAACAGCTTTTTAGTAATCACAACCACCACAAAAAATTTACAACAAACAAAGGAAAAAAGAGAAAAACCTTCCTGAACTTAATACACTCAGCTGTTAAACTAAAACACACTTTTTTAAAACTGGCAAAGGGTGGGAGGGTGGGAAAAGCTTTTACACTGTATGGCAAGAAACAAAAACTGAATCACGCAATGAGCGTGAAAACTGTTACCCTAAAATGTCACTCGTGCCCATAAACCGCAAAAAAAAAAGAAAGAAAGAAAGCAGCAATAAGAGAACAAACCACAGGATTGATTTTCACAGATTGCCACACTGTACAGGCTACACTTCACCTACCTCTTCCATTTTGTCATTCCATCCTCCATGTCCTTCTTGCATATCTCTTAGTGTGTCCACGCCTAAGAGAACTCGCACCCTCTCACCAACCTCAAATGGTGGATCATCGCTAGTGGATCTTGATACAGAGTTACTTGAGTGTGGTATGATCAGAGATTCAGGGTTTTGACCAAGTTTGGGCAGATGTGTCTTATAATAAGATCCTCCACTTCCAACAGTGATGCATTTTAAATCCACCTGAAAAATGACAGGTAAAAATAACATTTGATTTAATATAAATGATTTGATGTACTTTAAAAGTTGCGAAAATAATTGAGGACTGGACTGATAACAAAGAGGAAGATGAGCAGCTACAGCTTTTATAGTAAAAAATTTGACAGAATCTTGTTTTATTGCTGGAAGATGCTCGGTTATAAGATGCTCCCTAAAATTACAACGGATTTATAGCTATAGAGCACACTTTTGTTGAAAAAATGCTACGCCTTATAACCAAAGAAAACAAAATAATATTCCAGGGCTGTCACTTTACCGTGTACAACATATGCACTAAGTAAGCCAGGATTTCAACAGCTCAGAGGCTCTTTTGGTTTTATTTTCCTTTTGAGTCCTAAAAAAGTAGTAAATGCTCCTAATAGCTGGGGGAAGTCTACAGCCAACGAACATTAATAGCCCTGTATTAAAGATTTTTTAAAAACATGGGAACTATCAGCACATTTAGCTAGGATATTATATTATTTTGCTTCAATGTCATCTATGAAATTCAAGGAGAAATAATGCAACTTCCTCATTCCTAGACCAAGTACTGAAAGTTTCCAATATGATGGTTCCGTTCTATATTGCGCACCCCCCCCCCCCCCCCCAAAAAAAAAAAATATGCCTGCCTGGAGAGCTTGCTTGCATGCAGGCTGTGCAAGCTAAGGCCAGCCGAACAATGTTTAACACAAAAATTGCCAGATTGTATTTCCCTACCTTGCCTTTGTGCCCAACACGGTACACATTTGTACTGGTAGGTTTCCATTTAACACACGCGACGCTTCGGAAACTTTCCAGTTCCCAGCCTCTCACATCCAACACCTGACCTACACTTTGGGGCCCTCCATCTTGGTTCCCCCAGTCCCAGTCTGGCCCACGCATGACTTGTGCACCAGCAAATATCCCTTTAGCCTCAACTTTGCACTTGCCAAGTCTGTTGCCAACGAAAACTCTGCAGTAAGAAATATACAGTTGTAAAAGTTAGCTTTCAGCATAAGCCCAAGTGAAACAAAAAGTCATAACTGTCCAGTTTTTAAATTTGTAATGCACAAAATTAAAACAGTGGAAATCTTTCCAGTATTATTCTTCCAAAGCAAAAAAGTGGGGGGGGGGGGGGGGGGGTAGGTGACAGGGTGCCCTTACAGCCACTCCTTTTATCCCAGCTGGGGATATGAACCATCTTACATGTCTGACAGCTACCTTGCCCATTAAACACTTACAACAGTTAACTCCTAAGCTAGTTTTCTGGGAATTTCCACAAATGCAGACCCAGCTTTCTTAGAAGCATATCATCAATGGTCAGAGTTTTTCCAAGAACTCAAAAACAATACATGTCATTTTCTGTGAACTTGTGCCCAACATATTACAGGTCATTAATGTCATGTAAAAATTGTTTGAGACAGCTGACCTAAAGCAAAAGCATTTTTTAATTTTTGTGTAATTCTTATCACAATGCTTTTCCATCTTACCCTGGTTTTCCACGAGCTTCCACTCTATTAAAACCATGATCAAGTGGATGCTTATCACTCATGTAACAGGAACTACACAGGTTAAGACTGACACAGTCACAACATTCCCAGCGAATTCCTTCAATGGCTTGCTTTTTGCACTCATTACAAGACACATTCGAATGCACAACACCTGGAAAATAGACAATTAACAGCTTTTCTAAACAGATATAATTTATAAATAAAAAATAGTAATTACAAAGAAATTATCATGGTCCACTGATCAATTCTATGGTGATGAAAGGATTTGTAGAATTTCAGGAGTCTTGTAACATCCTTGAGATTTTATCAGCTGGATCTACAACATAAGAGTCTTACGACACGGAATTCAACTCAAAAAGTGTGTTGTATTACTATGTAATTTTCCATTTTACAAGAGTTGTAACAATAATCAAAAATTTTGTCAGTCATGCTTGATTAGTTTTTTCACATAAGCAATTATAATATCAATTCATTTTGTCTTTAATTTTTTTATTTCTTTTTCCCCTGAGGCTAACGTCAAAAAACACTCATTATAAATACTACATATTGTTGCTTAACAATAACATTTTATTATTAGCAACACTGGTCTGCATACATTTTAATTCAGGAAGACTAGGTGAATCTCTATCCTCAGTGTAATCTAGTTTGTGGTTTTTTTTGCTAGTTTGAATGATAGCCAACAATTTAATAATAACCTCCTTCCCTTTAGGCCTGACAAAATTCAATTCCTCTCTTTTTAAAGATTCATTGTCTTAGTAGGTAAACTTGTCTTCGGTTCCTTCTGTTCATTTAAGCTTGAATAACATCTCAAGTTTCAAACCATGGCAAAACTTAAACTTGCCCTGTAGATGGAAATAGTCTAAGAACTGAAAATTTAAACCATGATGTTTCTGCTGTTTCAGTTTCCTAAAAATCAATGAATGAGCCAAGGACAAGTTTGCTATAACAGGCCATGTTATGAAATGAAATACAACAGTGCAACTGTTGCGAAGGATACCAAAAATGTGAGTTTATATCTACAGAAAATTTGGATATCATGAATGCAACAATACGCCGGTCTAATATTGCTCATTTTCGTGTCGGTGAGATGCGTTTAGACAAACTTCATCTCATTCCCTGATTGAAGTTACACAGTAAAGGATTATCCCTCAGGAAGAGATGTTACTGTCTCACAATAAAGACTGGTAAAAATAATTATGAATTGTAAGTTATTTTTGGGAGAAAGCATAAGTATGTGACAAAGTGAACGTAAACACTGAACCTTTCATTACGTAAACATCTACTTAGAAACTTTTTTTAAGAACCGTTTTCCTTTTGATAGAACGACTGGAAATCTTTACTACCTCCATGAGCAATAAATAATTCTTAGCGGTCAAATCGCACGAGGTTAAGAATTTTTATCGATGAAATGCGCGCCCATACAGATGCTAATTCAAAGTCAGGAAGCTTTAAATTATAACGCCTTACCCGCCGGGCCCTTATCAAACAGACACAGATCGAACGCTCCTTGATAACCACATCTGTAGTTAGTTCTCGTTCCACCATCCCATTGAACCACGACTGTTTTATCGGGAGAAGAAACGCTTCCACTTCTACCCACCACAACAACAGTCCCAACATGTCCTTCTCCGCCATCTTGATTCCCCCATTTCCAATCTGGACCACGAACAACACGGCAGCCGGCTTCCATTTGTCCTTCTCAACTAGACTCAACTCCTCGAGAAAGCATTCTAGACAAAAAGATCCTTGATTTTCTTAACAACACGTTGTTTCGCAGAACTTGACTTTCTTCGAAATCGACACGAAAAAAAACACGAATTTGCGGGCAGCGGATGTCACTGGTTTCCAGTACCATCGTTAAACCACTTGACGCACGCCCACGACCGGAAGTCGTGCTTCGCGCGCGATTCTCGCTGTAATCTTTTATTTGTTAAATGCTGGGCAGGGCCGAGCAGAAACATTTGTCAAACACTTGGAATTAAGCCGAAAGGAAACGGAGGATGTGTTAAGGATTTCTACGTCTCTAAGTGATACTACATTGAATCAAGGGAAGACGATAAAGTTGTACGAAAACTAGTTTCAGACGTTGCACTACTGATTTTTTTTTATGAATTTGAGAAACAGTCACGCTAACGTAGAAAGACCTCCCACCGAATCTATTCAAGCAACGATTCTTTAATTTACACTTACATCGCTACCGCAGCCTGTGGTTTGCTAATGGTTTACAGAAGGTTTTTTCCGGCGACGCTATGATTTACACAGGTTGACAAAAAACAATCATGAAAATTACCTTTTTGAGTAATATAAAATTCTTAGCAAAACGACAGCAAATGGAGATGCTAAAACGCTACTCAATTTAATCCCTTATAAAACTCACGATTACTTTTACTGATAATTGGCTTGGGTCTGACCACCGCTGACAGGAAGTTTTTTGCTGTCTCGAGTTGTGCATCACAGCACATCCATAAAAGGAACGCAATCTTGAGTAGAAATAATCAAAAAGTTGTCCAACCTTTAAACAGTATTTTTGTATGTATAAAAAAACACCTTCATTTTTGATTTGAAACCTAACCCAGACACTCTCTTATGTGGCCCGTAGTATTTCAGAAAACTGTTTATTGAAAACAAACAGGATATTAAACCCAAGCTGAGTTCCACAAATTTCAGTGAAGTTGTTTACAAGGAAAATGTGATTTGATTGAATTTCACTCATGTGCGTAGGGACATGCACCTGTTAAAGGCAACAGCTTGATCGGCAAAAATAGAAGTGTTTTAAGACAAGTGTTATGCTTGATATTCGTAAAACATGTACTGATGATTGAATGCAGGCAAACACAACCCGATATTACTGAAACTCAGCCTTCGGATCTTAGCACTGTTGAGATACCCACTCGTCACTGTAGCATACAAATAAACTCTTTAATTGCAAGCCGGCTGGCACTGGAGCAAAGGAACATTTTCCTCAGTGAGGGTGTATAGTAAATTTAAGTGTGATTTTTTTTTTCTATGGAAGCATAGCAGTTTCTTTTAAGTTTCGTTGGCAAACCTCCGGCACTTACGTAGCGTCGCATAGTGCATTTTAAACTAAGAGGAAGTACCTATCAAAGAGGAAGTGCCACTCAAAGTTGGGAGAGCGACTGTTGAGGGTCAACATTGTTCTTCCCTTTTTCCATTTGTTACAGCAAAAACTGCATTGGTTTACAATTAATTAATCGCAAGTTGATACCAGATAATGGTCAGCTTCATTTCGGAACACTATTATTGCTTCCCTGTCCCTCCACCCCCAGCTTACGTTGAAGCATTCTGACAATTCCCGCTCGACACCAAACAGACCAAGGGCCGTCATACTATTCAATGTGCTAAAGACTGAGAGACCCCATTACCATTTATTGTACTAAAATTCAGTTATTCTGTTCCCATCGACTTCCCTTATTCTCAAAACCGCTAATAAACAAAGGCTGAAAAATCCGTCATGTAGACTTTTAGGTTTCCTGGGTGTACCCTAAAGAAGAAATCAAAAATTCGTCATCAATCAGCTGTAAGAGGATCAACGGATTTATTGTAAGGAATTTTAGTTAGTTGTTAGTTTGAACTATAACTAAAGAAGAGGAAATTTCTAGTCCTAATCTTTTCAAGTATCGAGAAGTTCTATGGTTTGGCCCTGATTAGATTGTGGTCAATTTTGCAAGTCTAGGGCATTATTATTTTCAGTGCCTTTTCAATATTGCCATATCTCTCCCATTCTCCTCTAAACACCGACAACAAGTAACCCTGACTAGAGTCTGACTGTGATGGAAAACGCACCAGAAACGCTACAGTAATATTTCTTCTTTCTCTCTGTTGAGCTTAAAAACTGTACACTTTTCACCTTAATGTACATTTCAGTCATCGAAAGGCATAACTAAAAGATTGGAAAACTATTTTAGACATTTAAAGGGTGAATTAAAACGGTTCCAAAACAGTTTCGGATTGCTTGTCCTTGGCACTCTGCCTCCATTAGTTTTAATTAATGCAGTGGGTGTGAAATTAGACATTTTAAATTGTTTATTTACTCAATCACTGACATTTTTCCAAGGTATTTTGACTTATCATAACGATTATTTTTTAGTTCAAAAACCTCTAACAGTTGCCAAAATTGTAGACTCGTTAATACTATTAATTGGCGCCAGTCTTTTTGAGCTTTTAAACTTTAAATCGATTAAGAAGATATTTAAAGTGGAGTTTTAGGAAAGCAAGTTATGTATTATGGGAGTCGCAGACAGCACGTTTCATTTCTAATTAGGTTAAAATATCGAGATCGCACGTACTTGAAGATTCTTTTAACCTTTAACTTTAACATTTTACGATACTGGCTTGGGTAGAAGTACTTACAGTGGAACCTAGATATAACCAAGGCCAAGGGACTGGCAAAATTTGTTCCCTATAACGATCGAGATTCGTTATATCGAGGTACTTATTATTTTATTCAGCCTAGTCCCTAAGCGTTCTCTCTTCTCTCTTGATCCGTTGTCCGCGCGAAGTCTGGGAGAGACCAGCGAGTATCTCTCGGTGACGTCACAGCTCATGGTAGAGTCCAGGAATGACCGAGCCGAAAACGCCTGGGGACTAGGCTGTATTTTATTATTAATGGCGCTAGGAATATCATGTAGAGGTTCGTTAAATCGTGGTTCCACCTCTCTCCTCCGTAGCCTGCTGTGTACAGACCCCGCCTCACTCCCTCCCCTCCCAATTTTTTTCTGAGGGAGAGGGGTCTGCACACAGGCCCCTGGGGAGGAGAGGGAGGTTCTACTGTATCTTTGCTTGATACCAGCCGCTGAGCGGGAAATGAGCCCGCGCTCCGAAAATCAAATCGAGTGCAACATGAAGAAATAGTGAGACAACCATGCTTTGCTGAAATGCAAGAAAATAGAGAGGGAGGGAAATGTGTTGCCCTAAAGTCCTAATTTTTACATTTCAAATACAGATTCTATAGTCTTGGTATGCAATAGGTCTTGACTGCAGTTTGCTGAATGTCTTATCCTATCTGACCCCAAGGGAGGGACTTTTTTTAACTGTAAAAAAGTCGAAAAAACGCCCTGCTAAATGTGATATATCAGTGGCTGATCCAGGTGAGGGCTCCTTATTTTTAGACCAAAATAAGGGCCGAAAGGTCAAAAAAAATTTTTTGACACACCCCCCCATATCCCAGGCGGTCTGGATGACCCCCCCCACTTATCTGAAGGTCTGGATCTACCACTGTTTATTCATAATTTAAGCGGTTAAAAGCGATGCAAAGTTCTAAACGAGGTATGTGAAAGGGGTACCATTTGTCAATAGAAGGTATAATGAAAGCGGTAATTTCCGCTTTCCTAATTAGCTGTAGCCCCGGGGTAATAAGTCCGAGTTGCGATGCCTTAGGGGGGTATCTATCGCAGGAACTGCCTGAGGGAATGTCTTGAGCCTATTACTAAGACAGCTGAGCCATACAAAATGTATAAAAACATTTTTTAGCTATTTATGCAAAGTGTAGATTGAAACATTCTCTATAAAGACAAACATTACTAAAACAATAATTAGTTGATCAAGAGTTCATTTATTGGTCATGAGTGACATTTGGAAAAGTAAAGTTTCAATAAGTCGTTGACTAAATCCTTTACTGTCATACTTAGTATATTCTAATAAAACCTTTTTGGCAGAACTTTAACCGTGCTGGCTTGCTAAAAACAGTCACACATGATTGCTGACTGGGATTTTTATTTTCTAAAAGTCTTGCTAGCTAGTAGTGAAGAGAGGGTATTTTTTTCCCCCGGGAAAGTTAAATATTAAGGTAGCTTGAACTAAAAGCACTCTGCTAGCGTTAACGACATTGTATAATCAATTTTGTGAAAAATGGTCGATGTTGTGTACTCCTGACTTTAGACTGTTTAGTTCGTCGAGCTCTCATCGTTCTTTACCGTTCTTGAAGCAGCCATTTGGTTTCAAATTTAATTTCATGCCCAATCATTGTCTGGGAAAGAGTATCAACAGTGCCAGGTCAAATCTACTTTTAGGGCAGCAGACAGTTTGAACCTGCCGCCTGTTGCATCGAGCGCACGCCGGGATCTAGACGATCTTACCGAGCTAATACGAAACTGTGACCAGTCCAGCAGAACTTTTACATAGTACAATCTGTTTCTTAGGGACTCTGCACATTCTTAGGATCTTTCACGTTGGCAACAACAAGGTTTGAACAAGGATTGAAAGGAGAAGGCCCCCAATAGGTTTTTCGGGATCCGGGATTTCCCTTATTTGAAACTCGGAATCCGGGATTTCCCTTATTTGAAGCTCGGAATTCGGGATTTCCCTTATTTGAAGCTCGGGATTCGGGATTTGAAAGCAAAATCGGGGCTAGAGTCGGGATTAAAAGTATGCGCGGAGGTGTGATGCCAAAAATAATCATCGGGATTACGGGATTCCTTGAATTTTTGGGTCGGGATTACGGGACTGAAGAACCCTATCGGGGACCCGTAAGGGATAACTGCCACTGATGTGGACCGGATGTGTCCATACAATTACCCAGGGGGTCCGGGACCAGGGTACTCCCAAACATTTCGGATAGGTGTCTTATTTAAGGCCCAAACCTAAAAAATGAAAATCAGTGTAACTACGATTTCACAGTTAAATCTAACTCAAGGTGAAGTCCAGTTTTAACAGATAATTTGTTTCCTAATA